AAGGTTTAGCTTGTTGTCCAACAACAGTGGTCAATCCTCTTGCAGCTCAGCATAACCAACTCCAGTGATAAGATTGTCCCCAACGGTTCCTCTCCAGCTCAGCCCTTTGATTGCTTTTGCCCCAGTGAAGTAGAATGCAGGTGTTAGCAAAGCAAATACAACCCAGGTTATCACAGATTGCAGGGTTATCGCAGAATCACTCCCATCTTTGTAGAACGTCCTCCACACACAGTCATCCTTCCATGGAAAACTTCTGAAATGTAAAGGAAACAATTTGTCAGAAACAGCACATTTCTCATCAATAAATTGTGAACTTTTATTAAAATTCTTTGTTTTTGACTTTGTGGTATCCTACCTTAGGAAAGATGAAAATCACGAGACATGAGTAATTATTACTAGTGGCCAAGAGAAAGATGTCTACAAAAGATGGGTTCCCAACAGAATTGTGTACTTAGGTTTTAGTGTGTGGCTCCATGAAGGGGCTTAGTTTGTTACATTTTAGGTTTTAGCTGATCTGTTGGCTTCTCTCTCGTATTATGAGGAATGTGTGCTTCACTAAAAAGACAGGAGAATAGCTCTTGGTGTACACTGTTTTATATCAGTGTCGTTAGAATGTCTATTGAAAATGTATTTCTCACGTTTAGATCTTTTAAAAATAGTTATAGATCTATACTTGACATTGGTTTTCCTTTCTAAGTTTCAAAAAGGACATTTCTCTTTTACTTAACGACATTTATTATATATTCCCCACATTTTTGTAAGAAGTGTTAGAATATTTTCAGACAAACCAACACACTGCAAACTACTACATGTCATAGTTACTGAAGGTAACAGTGAAGGTTTCACAACTGAACCTTGTACCAGTCTAAATTTTCTTACTTACTTTCCAAAGCAAAGGTAGGCTTTTCTATTGTATTTTCTACGGTATGTTAGAGTATAACCATGTCACTGTAGAAGAAAATTCTCAACAAAAGAGTGGACTGTTAGTTTGCAGCAGTGTAGCCAGTAAAATGAGCATGGAATAGCCCCTTCTAAGAACTGGGACGGAACCCAGATAACCAACCACAAGATTTGTCCAAATCTTTACCTTCCTTCCTTCAGGGTAGAAAATGAAGCTGTCAGTCCAGAATGAAACCGTTAATGCTCAGCATTTGGACAAAAGAGGAACATGATGGATTTTTATGATGTGCTATAATTACAGGCAGCACCTGCATTTTTTGTTACACCTTTATCACAGTATGCAGTGTTCTGTTAACAGTAGCATCAGGCTTTTTAGAAAACCTGACACTTTTTAATGTTTGCCCAACGTTTTGTTTACCTCCTCTTTTTGCATCTTTGCAACAAGGTGTTTAAGCCAAGATGAGACAGAAAAGAAGCATTTGCCATACACTAAAAATGGCCTATCACAATGGATGGTATACTATCGAGCCAGCTTCATCTCCTTTATATATAGATTTAAGTGTTTGAGATTTTTTTTTTTGCATCTAAATTGGTGTTTTAAATACACTTCACAGAAGATCTTTGTAGTGAAGCTACCAGTTTTACCAAAAATCCTTTAAGGTTTGATGCACAGAGGAGTCCAACCGTTCAAACAAAGTACGTCAAACGAAAATTCACAATGGTTTATCAGCACGTGCATCTAAGCGGTTTACTTCCACTAAGTGTTTCTAAATGTTTGCTCTCTGGGTAGAGCATAAAAATGGTATACACACTACAAGTCTTACTAACTAACTTCATCATCATCAAGTAACTTACATGTATTTTTATTTGACAGTTAATTGCTTGTCTTATCCAAAATTAAGTAAAGGAAACTTTCAAAGGGTAGGAAGGTTGAATGAATAGTACACATGTGTTTGCTGCTCCATCAAAGCTATTAAATATCTATAATATTTGTTTTTACAAAATAAATCTGTATCTAGTTTGTGTGAATAAAATTCTGCAAGGAAATACCAAATGTAGGTAAAGATGGATTTCAGTAAAAAGAACTTCACAAGGACCTATGAATTTGAAAGAAGTCTTGCATCAATACATTGTAGCACAGCAGTTAGCAATCTGAAGGTGATATCTCTTGATAGTATTTGCAATTTTGCTGTCATTTTGATTATAAAATTGATTCGAATTTATGTGGCGTCTGTGTGGTGTAGTGGATAGAGCGTCCGACTGTCAAGCAAGAAGACCCAGGTTCAATCCCCAGGGTTGGACCCAGACATGTCCGGACATGCACCCAGACGTTGTGCCCTTGGGAAAGGCACTTAACACGTATTTCCCCCCTCAGTTAGAGGGTTCCTGCGCCCTACTAGGGTTTGGGTTGGCGTTAGGAAGAGCATCCAGCCGTAAAAATCTTGCTTCAAAAAAAAGACTTGTACTTGGTGCAAGCACGTCTAACCCCCGTTTGGGGAAAAAAGACGTTAAATTCGGTTTAAAAAAAAAAAATTCCATAGCATGCAGCATTTATAAAGATTCTAGTTTTAGCTGTAAAACAGACATTGTGAAAAGACACAAGTTCTCCACCAAGGCTGTAACCAAGTACTATTAGTACATGTATTGTACACTTGGAGTTATGTCTTTTCCTATGTATGGAAAGACCCTATTCTAGAAAATATTATCCTGAACTGAGGTTTTCCATGGAAAGTCAGCTTTGATATTACTGAGTAATTATCTATCTTGGCAAAGTCAAAGTAAAAGGAAGTGTAGATTCATGCAAGTTACAGAAGCCAGGTAGACTGTAAAGCACAGAATAAGAGAGGGCATTGTTAATGTACCTGAAATGATAAAATGGAAATACATGTATAGAAACTACAAAGTCACCTAAAAGTTACAGATTTACCTCACCTTA